TTTTTTTTTTTTTTTTGTGGTACTGGGGTTTGAACTCAGGGCCTATACCTTAAGCCACTCCACCAGCTCTTTTTTGTGATTTTTTTCTTCAAGGTAGGGTCTTGAGAACTATTTGCCCAGGCTGGCTTCAAACCCAGATCCTTCTGGTCTCTCCCTCTGAAATAGCTAGGATTATCATTGTAAGCCACTGGCGCCAAGCTCTAAGCTTATACTAATGAACTTGTAACCTAACAGGTATAAGGGTAAGAAAGAAAAATAAACAGGCCTGATGTGCTAAGGGCTGTAACAGGTTCAGAGTAACTTAGAATGAAGGTACAATATGTATACTAATTCGTTCACTCTGCACTGCACACTGGCAATGTTGAAAGGAGAAGCAGCATTTGAAATGCAAAAATTTAATACAGGCATGCAGATATAAAAAGAAAAATCTAGAATAGGAGCAAGTTTTGGATCAAAGCACATGCATACAGGACAGAAGCAGAACACTTGGTGGTGTGTTTTCATGAGACCCATCCAGCTTTCAGACAGGAATCACCACAAAGTCAGGGTGGAGAGGAGGTCTGGGGCCTTACAGGAAGAGGCCCTGAGTGTTAGGCTGCACATCTGTTCGACAAAGACCAGCAAGTAAGCTGGGCCCACTGGATACCTGGGAGACTGAGGGAGAAGAATCAATTGAGCCCGTAAGTTTGAGGCCAGCCTGGACAACACAGTGAGACCCCATCTCTTAGAAATAAAAGAATGGCAGGTGATGGGAAGAATGGAAAGGTTTTGTTTTTTTGCTTCTGTGGTTCTGGGATTGAACTTAGGGCCTTAAGCGCTCTACCACTTGTGCTGTGCCCCCAGCCCAGAATGGGAGGTTTTTGAGCAGGAAAGTAACACAATCAAGGCTGTGTTGTAGAAAAGTCAGCCCAGGAACAGAATCTAAAAATGGAATGGAGATAAGGACACAGTGAAACCAAGTTAGAAAAGGCTGTAAAGACGGTCCAGTACCTTCCTTCTCAAATGCTGGGTGGGAGCTTGCCTGAAATGCACAATCTCAGGTTCTATTCTAGCACTGGGAATTTTCTCCTTTTCTTTTGGTGCTGGGGAATGAACCCAGAGTTTCACACACGTTAGACAAGTGCTCTACCACTGAGACACATCTTTAGCCCCCTTTAGTCTTGATGAGCCACAGTCTGTGTCTTAGTAAAATCCAAGACACACTGTTCTACCACAGTGGTTCTGGGAACATGCAGCATCAGTATTGCTTGGGAACTAATAAAAAAATGTAACTTCTTGGCTCTAATGCAGGTGGGGTTTTACCAGGCCCCATGGTATTTCTGGTGAATACTAATTTGAGAACCACTGTTGTAAAGAACACATAAACAAGAAAAGAGATGCATAAAAGAAAATTAAATCTGATCCCTGACTCAAACCATACAAGAAAGTCAGTCCTAGTAAAAGTCAAGGACTGGAATAGAAGAGGCAGAACTGTATGAGAAAATCAAAGGGAGCTTTCTGACCTCAAACTTTAAAAGCGTTTTTATAGATAAGACTAACCATTAAAAGGAACTGTGCATATGTTCAACTCCTCTTTTCTCATATGCTGATACAGGGCAAAGATAAGCCAAAAGGAGAATATGACATGCAGAAACAGAGGCACTTCACAGGGGAAGAAATGAAAAAGGCATGGATGAAAGTGATCCACTGACCAACAGTGCAAGTAAAAAATAGGCAAAGCAGTCAGGTGCCAGTGGCTCATGTGGGTAATCCTAGCTACTTGGGAGGTGGAAGGCGAAGATCAAGAGGATCGTGGTTCGAAGCCAGGCTGGGTAAACAGTTCATGAGACTATCTCGAAAATACCCAAATCACAAAAGGACTAGCAGAGCGTCACAAGTGGTAGACCACTTGCCTAGCGAGTGTGAGGCCCTGAATTCATACCCCGGTACCAAAAAAAAAAAAAAAAAAGTTACTGCATGACCCAGTAATTTGTAACCCAACTGAAAACACGTGTCCACACAAATGTTCTTAACACCATTATTCAAATTAGCTTATCTGATGAATGGGTAAACAGAAAGTGATGTATTTGCCCCTGAGGGTTGGGGGAGAATATGGTATATTCAGGTAATGGAGTATTATTATTCAGCAGTGAGAAGGAATGAAACACTGACAGATACATACTACAACAACTGATCCTTGACAGTCTGCTTAGTGAGGGCAGCCAGTCACAGGAGGCTGCATACTGTATGACTCCATCTCTACATGTCCAGAACAGATAGAGCTATAGAGACAAAGAGCTTAGTGCTTGCCTGGGCTGGGAGAGAGAGCAATGGGAAAGTGAGTACTCGCGTGTGTGGATGATGAAAATGTTTTAGGTAACAGTGATAGTTGTGGAACTGATTATACCAAAAGCTGTTGAATTGTACACTTCAGTAAATTATATGATGGGTGAATGAAGCTGTTAAGAAAATGACTTGCCTCATAAATAAATGCACAGTAAGAACAAATACCATTTTCACCCATTAGACTGGCAAACACTAAGTTGTCTGGCAGATTTGTACAAAGCAAAGGTAATTAGCAAATTGCTCATGGGAATGTAAATTAACAAGATCATTTTGTAGCAATGAACACGTGCAGTGCCTATAATCTTGGTGCATTCACAGTCACTGAGGGACATATCCAAGTATGTTCACACAACACAATTAGAGCACCACAAATGCCTGTTGGCAGAAAACAGATAAGTTGTGATGCATTTGGACAATGAAGTGTTAGGTAGCTACCATGAACAACATGGGTTGATCTTGGAAACACTGCTAAATTTGTAAAAAGCCCCAGTTTATATCTAGTACAGTATCATTTATAGAAGCCAAAACAAGACCAAAACTAGGTATATTGTGTAGGAAAACTTACATAACTATCAAAAACAAAAAAAGATAATCATGAGTTTCAGAAAAGAAATAGATCTCCATGGGGCAGGCAAAGGATGGGAGGGGAGGAGGAAAACCAGTACTAATTTTATGTATGTGTGTGTATTATATAAATACATGTGTTTTGGCAGTACTAGAGGTTGAACTCAGGGCCTCATGCATGCTAGGTCGGCACTCTTGCTTGAGACACTGTGCCAACCCTTTTTGCATTGGTTATGTTTTTGAAATGGGGTCTCAAGGGGGGAGAAATGACCCAAACATTGTGTGCGCATATAAATAAAAGAAAAAAAATGGGGTCTCACTTGATTCCTGGGCTGGCCTGGACAGTGATCTTATTTGTGCTTCCCCACATAGCCTGGTGACAGACATGTACCACTGTGGCCCGCTATTGCCGAGATGGGGTCTTGTGAACATTTTTTTTTTTTTGCTCCAGCCGGCCTCAAGCTGAGATCTTCCAGATCTTTGTCTCCTAAGTAGCAAGGTTTATAGGCTTGAGCCACCAGAGTAGGCTTAGTATTGATAATAGTGAGGCTTTATTTCTTTAAGGGTTTTTTCTGCAGTGCTCAGGATTGACAGCTTGTGCTTGCAAGGACAAGTGTTCTGTCACCTGCAGCTTGACAATACTGGTGGGTTCATGGGCATTTCTTGTATGAAGTAACTGATGTGAGTTTCCTGTATTCTCCTGTATCAATCACATCCTGCCTGATAATAACTGTAACACTCAGACAGACCAATGGACAAAGTCACCTTTATTCATGACTAAACCATTTTAGTACGGACACTTCCAAACTTCTCTACACTTGACTGTGCTCACACAATTTGTAACAGGGGAGAGATGCTGCTGTGAATCATCCTTTTCTCCCCGATGGCATGTGGCAGGCATCTTTCCAAGTTAATGCATTCAAATCTACTTGCTTAGTGTTGGTTTAATATTTCTGCTTTAACTGTTGACAGTTTAACCAATTTCCTAGTGGGTTTTCTTTTCAGTTTCCTTCTATTAATACTGCAGGTACATTTTTACACACAGCTCTGTGCAGTGCATGCCACACCAAGTACTCTAGGACTTCTGAAATGGATTAATTTCCCTAGAATAACTTCTCAGATGAACTGCTAGGTGAGTGTATTCTGAAGTGATTTGTCTTGCTGAACTAGTCTCCTGACAGGTTATGCTGCTTGTACCTCTATGAATACTGTATGAGTAATTTCCAATACCTCGGACTTCTGCAAATACTGGTTATTAATCTTTTTGTCATCTTTGCTAGTTTGTAGGTGAAAAAGGCCTCTTCCAGTTAAGCATTCTTTGATCAGCACTAAAATAATTCCTTCCACTTTGACCATTTTTAATTCTGTGAGTTGATTAGTCACTCTTTTTGGGTCCATTTCTAATGTGCTTTCTAAGAACTTGTCATTAGAACTAAATATCCTTTCTCACATGCTGCAAATATTTCCTCAATTTGTTGCCAGTCTTAACTTTGTAGCTTTTCTGGGAGGACAGAGGAAAAGAGGAGGATAGAGAATGCTCAAGTTTACATGTGGTCCAATCAGTTTTTTCCCTTTAGAAAACTCCTTCCCACCACAAGATCAGAGAAAAATTCTATTCTCTCCCCCAACATATAATAGCTTTTAAGATTTAGTGTTAAGTCTTTACATACCTGGAACTTCAGAGTTTTGGCTCAGGATTGATGGAGGGGCTTATACTTACCAAAATGGGCAAGAAAGACATCCCATCCATCTGTGTCTTATTCACATCATAGCCAGCAATATCCAAAATAGTAGGACCCAAGTCAATGTTGGCAACGAGCATCTATGAAAATGAAGAACAACCAATCTAGAACACAACTGATCCTGCTTTCCTCCTTCCTTTATGCTAAAGCTCTCTTCCCTCAACTTCTCTGAGACAAACAGCACTCACTTATTTAGATCTTACGGTTCCATATATTCAAATATAACAGCTTATAAAGTTATATAAAACAGAGGCTTATAAGGCTTGAAATACATCCCCCTGGGAAGATTAATATTCATACTGTTACTGACCAGAACATAATCAGATTAGTTCACTAGATTTGACTTCATATGGAGTCAACATTTTTAAAAGTCTCAAAGGTTGAATGCTTGCCACAAATGAGGATGATTGGTCCACTTTAGTTTTTCAAAATGATAACACTGCTAGAAATGTCTGTGGTAAGTTTTGGGGTTTGTTTTGTTTTTGAGACAGGCTAGCCTTGAACTCATGACCTTCTTGCCTCCACTCATCTTCCTGAATGATGGATTACAAGCATAAGACACCATGTCTGGCCTTGCAATAGGCTTCCAATACATTATTGGAAACTTATTCCAATAATGTATTAACAAAAAATTTTCCTTAAACAGCACAAAACATAATTTTTGTTCTTGTTTTGCAGTGTTGGGGTCTGAATTCAGGGTCTTGTACTGTCTACCAACTGAGTCATGGCCCCCAGTCCTAAAATAGATGTTTTAAAACAACTCTCCTAGAAATTAGTGACATGTTTTACATATTTATTTATCCTTAGCCTTTTTTCTTGGTTTATTAGACTTAATTTTCTTCTGCATACATTGCCTTTATAGGGCCTAAGCTAGCATAGTCCAATATAAATATAATGGGTACCAAACATTTAAACTGTCGAATAACCACACTAAAATAGAACAGGCAAAATTCATTGTACATGTTATTTAGACTAATATACAAAAATATTAGTATTTCAACAGTTAAGAAATATAAAGAAGTTAACGAGACTTTGAACCAAGTCTTTGGAATCTGGTATTTTATAATGGCGACATTTTAATTTGGGGTATCCACATGCTTGATAGCCCCACTGTGGGTGGTGGGTATTGCAGTCAACAACACAGGCCTCAAGGAAACTGTAAGCAGTTTTAGTCACCTGGTCAGACAGAACAAGCCTTAAAATGGTAGAGATGATCCATCAGGGAAACAAAGCAGAAGGGAGAAAAAGTAGGAATTAAAGTTTACTGAGGACCTAGTCTGTGCCACACATTTAGTTTTTATTCTTATTTCTTCCTTACCACAATCTCAGAGTGCAGTACTTCCCCATTTTATAGGTAAAGAAATGGAATGTAAGAAGTAACTAGAACAAAGTTAATAGCTTGTAACTGGAAAAACTATCCTTTGTTGAAAAGAAATAATAGTATTTGAAATTGTTGAGAAAACTTGGAATAGTCTATGAAAGGAGAAATGCGGGTAAAAAAACCACAACTAACTCTGCCACTTTCAATTTAAAAACAAAACCAAAAGTACAGATATGAAAAGCAAGAAAACAATTTTACAGAGCATTGTTCAACAGGGGTCAGGTTTCCTGACAGCCAGGATGGCTCTCAGAAGGCAAGTGATATATATCCTGGCTTTGAATCAATTAGTGTATCTCTGCAGCTGTCAGAAATCACCATTCAGTGGAGACAATTCAGGGAGAGGCAATCCATATGTCACTGAGAAAGAAACACAGCAGACCTATGTCTCCAGGGATCACAGGAGACCCATGGTTATAGCCAACTTTCCTACTTCCAAGTGCCCCAGGCAAGCTGAGCAGCTTGGAAGAGTCATCAAGTCTGCATGTGAATATGGAGTACATCACCACAGGGAAGGGGGGTGGGGCAGGGATGGAACAGGGACAGGCATGTGATCTCCAGAGTCCATAAAGCTAATTCCACAAGCACTATAAACACATCCAAGGCAGTTTTATAAGAAAAAGCATAATACAAAAATAACAAAGTCCCTAGAGATAGAGAATGGTGATTACCCATCTCACCAAAAATATCCTCAAAGGCCAGCAGCTGTATGATGGGAGATTTTTTTCTTTTTTTAAAACGAGATAGGGTCTCATATGTAGCCCAAGCTGGTCGTGCATTTGAGATCCTCCTGCCTCAGACTTTTAAGTGTTGGGATTACCTGTGTGCCACCACTCCCAGTTGATGGAAACTTTTTTTTTTGTGGCAGTATTGGTATTTGACATCAGGGCTTCATGCTTGTAAAGCAGGCAATCTACTGCTTGAGCTTTGCCTCTGGCCTGATGGAAGACTCTTTTTAATGGTGTTTTGCTCAATGGAAAGGCCTCTAAATTCCCATACACATCAAGATTCACTAAGATTTGGCACAAGTACCAAAACACACATCATCCCAGAACTCTTCCTAGATATTTATCTTTTCTTTCCTGAATAAGACTGGATTTTGCCTAAGAAGTAGTCAGCCTAAAAAATCTGCATACTATGTCAAGAGATAGGAGACATCTCATTGACAGTATAAGTAAGGAATCTCAAGAAAGAATTTTATCTATCTCTGGGTTTTATACAACCAAGCATTAGAATGAATTCTATGACAATCATGGTAATGACTCTTGAAACAACAGGGTTCCAAGTTCCTAGAATGGTACTGCTTTTATTACATGATCTTTAAATGTAAACTTGAAAGATTAATTTATAGATTGGAACAAGTTTTCACAAGAACAAAAATAAATTATTTCATATATCACAGTCTCTTAGTTTGAGAATGTTGTTAGGACTCAAGTACACAGACATTCTGATTAAGTAAAAACCTCTAAGAAACCCTGGGCACAAAAATCAAGGAATGATGCACTGATCCTCCTTATGTTTAGTTGTGGAAGAATGACAGTGTTGTATAACTACTAAAAAGAACAAGGCAATGGACTCTCTCAGGAGAACACATAAGGTTTCCGAACAGACACAAGCTATGCAAGCCTGCCAAAGACAAGGCTCAAAGCACACCAGAGGGTACCCCAGTATCCACTTGACGAAAGTCACTGTAAATGCATGAGAAAGCAATGGTTGGGCTGCTTCAGTCATATCTGCCCTCGGCCTTAGCTTTCTTAACAAGATGAAGCGAGGGTGTCACGTAGTTACACTTCAGGATGGACAGGTAACATCCTCCCAATTTCACAGCTACAGAAAGCAAGGCTTTTTGTGTTCAAAGTCTCAAAACCAATAGGCAGTCTTCCTGACTCCCAGTTCAGTGCTATTTTCACCAGACCATTTTCTGTCATTCTAGTTCTCCTCCTAACCTTTTATTTTCTAGAAACCTTTTTGAAGAACTACCACCAAATCTAGATCTAGATTAATGTATAGCCAGGGAAGAAAACTTTAGCCAACCCTTGGCATCCACACATATACCTATCCCCACTCCCAAATAGCTGCCACATAGCCGAGTCCACAGGTCAGCCAAATGTGCACTGCTTTGGCTGTCGGGCTGTTGACAACTTAGCTCATTATGCCCAATGTACAACCCTGTGCCACTCAGAACAAGTGGCCCTGAGACCAACACTGACAACACACGAGGAACATGTTCCCCTGATATTCCTTGGCATAGATGAAAGCCAAGGTATTTCACACTTCTCTAACTACATGTCAGCACGACAATGTGACAAAACACGTATTTTGACAGTTTACTCTCAGTCCTGGTTCTACTACTGTATAACCTTGGCAAATCTATTCAAGCAACATAGATTTCCGAGTGTATGGTAAGGGCTAGGTATTCTGAGTCTCAATAAAGTGTGGTAAGTGTGAGGCCAGCTGGGAACATGTAGGAAGCCCACCGTCCGAAGTGACTTACTTTCCTGAAGGACAAGTAAGTTGGTCAGGTAAATACAGTCTGACATGGGTATTCTAATTAGTTTTACCAAGGCCAGGAGGTGAGAGATACGGTTCACTTAGAAAGTGAAAGCAGTTCAGTACAAATGCTGCCTCCCATCCTTGAACAGGCTTAGCTTACTATAACACCTGTGCCATCTCATCTAGTAATCTCTGAGAATGCTCTTCCCTGCCCTCCATGTGACTACTTCCTTCTCAACATCCAGCTCTCTGCTCAAACTCCTCAGAGGCAACCACTTACTGCTGGCTCTTTCTGACACAGGGCTTTAAGAACTGATCTTCCCCAACTGTTCCTTGCTGGATCCAAGGTTCCTTGTGTATAGTACCAGCAGAAAAAGATATTTAATACTTGTTGACTGAGCTAGAGTATAATGGTTAAGAAAATGAACTCTGGAGCCAAACTGCCAGAGTTCAAACACAGGGCTCTGCTACTTTTTAACCTATGTGGTCTTAGGCAAATCAATTAACTGCTGTACCTCAGTTTCCTAATACACACATACCTTATAAGACTATGAAGATCAAAAGGTAATATACTTAGAATAGCATTTATCAATACTAGTCACTCAAGAAATGTGAATTATTGTTGAAATAGCTTCAAGGAATCAGGCTTTGTTTAGATTGCTTAGAGAAGATGAAGTTTCTGATTTTAACACTTAAATGTCACTAATACCTTTTTTCTTCTTCACAATTTCAGAAGGCAATTTTGATGAGAACCTGCTATTGAGAGTCACTAATGCAGAACAAAGTAAAGATCTAGTTTCGAAAGACATATGCTATGCAAGCTGATACGACATGTACGTATGGTGGCAGAAATACACGCAATAGAAATACACTTAATGGGGAGTTTTAAAAAAAGGCTTATGAACACACACGATCTCACTGATCAGTCTTCATTCTGATAGGAAGAGAAACCATTTATTTTCTCAGCCAAGTGCCTACCTGTACACAGCATCAGCTTCATAATCAGGCACCTACCTTGCTTGTCTGATTTGGTTTGATCCCAGGTCCTCGAACCAACAGTGGAACTTTGATATCAAACTCATACAGCTGTCTTTTGTCTATTGGCAAAGAAAACTGTCCTGAAAACAAAATGCATAAAGATGGAAACAGCAATGTGTAGATCACACTTAGTTTTACTCATTTAATCAATAGCAAAACCTAAAAAATACTGTTTTAATTATGGTGTTTGAACAGAAAGCTTCAGGTTGTCTGGGTCTCTTGTTACTACAAGGCAAGAAAAACAGTGAGGTCTGATTCAGTTAAGTAACTAGAAGGATTTCCTGGTCTGCAATAGGACAAATTGAACAAAAGTAACACTGGAAAGGACAGAAGCAAATATATAAAAATGTATGTGCGACACTCAACCTGATCATCAGTGAATGAGCTCAGTCCAAACACTGTCAAATGCTGGCAGAGTAGGTTAAGTGGTAGAGCATCTGCCTAGCAAGCATGAGGCCCTGAGTTTAAACCCCAGTACTGAAAGAAAGAAAAAAAAAAAGCCACACAAACACTGCCAAATAAAGAGAGCAAACCATCTATCCTGCCTTTCCTGACTGAATTGCAGTTCAAGATAACCAAGGAACTGATGAGAGGAATCCAACATATACACACAAGAAGACATAATTATGAAGTCAGCCTTTTGCAATTTCAGTTTGAGGAAACAATGGATTTAAGCAAAAATGTCCCACAGCAAATTTCAAAGACAGAAAGGCTCATAGGAAGGGTTCAGGCTGAAACCACCATCAAGCCATACTGGCAGACTGAGCATAGTGGTACATGCCTATAATGCCAGCACTCAGGGGGCAGAGGTAGGAGGATCTGGAGTTCAAGACCAGTCTGGGCTATAGGAGACCTACAGGAAAAGAAATTGACCCTTTGATCCCCCAAGCTGGGCAGTAAGATAGATGGCCTCATGACACGATGCGCAGGAGTACAAAACAGCATCACTGAGGAAGCATTCTTGCCTGAAAGTGTCAATGTCATACAGGTCTCTAGATCTCACTACCAATCTATGGGAAATGCTGAGTAGAGATGAGTAAGTTAAGGCCTCACAATGTGAGACATTCTAAATAAGAGACCCACTTTCCCCAGTAAATCAGCATCACATGAGCCTTGGGAGAACTAAAAATGAAAGGCAGTGTGTGGATGCGTGGACCCTGTCTGGATCTTGATATGTAATAAACTAGGTGCACATAGGTGCTGACAGGTGGAATCACGTAATGTCTGGGAACATGGGGAAGGCAGGAAGAATTCAACAGACTAGCCCATTCAGTTGAAAATGTGAACAGGATAATGAGTTATTTTACTAGTTTTTTTCTTGCTATGGGACCTAGCCTGACCTTGAACTCCAAGGCTCAAGTAAGTGTCCTGCCTCAGTCTCCTGAGTCATTGGGATCACAGGTGCATACCACCATGCCCAGCTACCCCAATCTCTACTTTCAGTGTTTAAAAATATTCATGATAATGCATTAAATGCCTAATCAATTTGCTCTTATGTAATCAAGCCTTAGGTTAGTTCCTTCCAACTGGAAATTTATATAGAGAGAAAACACTTGATTTTAACCACAGAATGTCCAAATAGAAAGAATGAAAGTCAAGAACATGGAGCTGATTTCATACTATAGTTTTCAAAAACTAAAAATGCCCAAAAACTAATTCCAGGACTTAGCAAGAGTTTTCTCCCAAGAAACCTTCTTTGTCTTGTTTGGAATGTCTTACCCTTATTCTCTAAGTTCCACTTATCCTTAAAATATTTCAACTTCTCACCTCATTCATAAGCCTGTCTTAAACCCATCAACTCACTCTCTGCCTCCAACTCCCATGGCACTGTGTAATTTAGCATGTGCAACAACAAAGCATGGAACCTGGTTGCTCCCTGTGGGAATGATGTGCCCTCCAATGGGAGGGGCTCTGAGGGCAAAAATCTCCCTGGCAAATTCACAGCTGTACATGCCCTAGAACTTCTGCCAGGGCCACAGCCTGGGTGGAAAAGGAGGCATATTCTCAAAGATGATAGGAGAACCTAACCCTACCTCTCACCTGTGTGATAGCCATTGTCTGAGGTATAAAAGATGTATGTGTTGTCCAGCTCCCCAGTGAACTCCAATCTCTTGACCAGTTTCTCCACAAGGTCATCAACTGAGAGCAGAGTTTGCCACCTGGATGCGAACAGAGGGTGGAAATAGAACTTTAGCGGCAACAGATGAGGTATCATCATCTTGATAAATAGGGAAAACCCAAACACCCCTCAATCTCAATTTAAAAAATAAAAAAGAAAAGTATTCAAATCCCAAATATGTCTCCTAGACCCTGTCATTGCAAAAGACAGTTCAAAAAATTCCAGAACATGATTCATTTCAAAGTTAACTGTTTCCAAAGAAATAAAATGGGGTTTTTATAACTAGGTAGCTTTATGTTTTACAGCCACTGGCAATGACAGTAGGGAAAATCAGAAGAGAAAGTTGTCATTGTAGAACAGATTACCTCAGGTTGATTCAAATATGTCTGTGCTACAATAGTGTTTTAACAGTCTGACCTAAGCATTGGCACTCTATGGCCAGAGGACCTCGGCTCACCTACTCTCTTACAAATGAGCAATGCACAGTAATTTACACGCCGTCTAGGGATGCTCTGTGCTACAAAAGTGAGATGAGTGGTTGTGATACAACGCATGGCCTGCAAGCTCAGTATTCACTACTTTTTTTTGTTTGTTTGAACTCAAGCTCTTTATGAATTGAGCTATGCTCCTGGGTCCTTTATTATCTGGCCCTACAGAAAGTTTGCTGACCTTTGGTCTAAACTAAATATACCCTAAGAAAAAGTAATGGATTTTTTTAAACTGACTGGAATTTTCAAGAAATTCTAAAACAGCAAAGGTAAGTATCTGCCCAATGTCTGGGCTAATTTCTAAGTGATCTTTTCTTTAAACACAGAGGGAGAAATTCAACCAAATGTCTTAAGTTTGCAATATTCTTTAACAATACTCAAAAATGAATAGTCTAATTAGTGCTGGTATCCCAAGACCACCTCATACGCTTGAGATAAAGAAGTGCCTGCTTCTGAGACAGCTAAAACCCATCAGAGTACCTCTCCCACTGACTTCTGTTTTGTTTCAAAGATAACGGCATAGTGCAGTCCCCTGCCTGTCCTTAAAACAGGTCGAATTGAGAAGGCAGCAGCTCTTACCTTTTTCTAAATGCATTATCTAAAAACTGTATTGAAGAATTAGTCATTGGGGTCTTGGCTTGTCTAATTAGCCAGTGCTTGTTCTAAAATTAAGAAAAAAAATGTTAACACTACCAGATTACTAGAGTAGATAATGAAAAGGACTTCCTACTTTAGCAAAATGGAACTGAAACCTGTTTAAGGAATCCCTTCCCCCCATGTTCCTGAAAAAAGAAATTTCTCAGATTAACTATCATACTCTCACCTTCCCATTATCTCCCAAATTGTAGAGCTCTTTTGTTAGAGTATTAATAATTAATAATGAATGCCACTGGGAAACCACTAGTTAAAATGAGATTAAATTTATAACTTTGATCCAATGTCTACTACAACTACAAATGGGCAAACACTAACGTTGCCTTTCTCTAAGATTTGCCTAGTGGGTCATTCCAGTGCCCTTTATTTTCCTACTGAAGATATTGATCACCCTGGGAAAAATCCTATCATAGCAATCTCCTAAAACTTCAAGTCCAAATCTGGACTTTAAATAAAAGTCACATTTTTAATAACAATATCTTCCATATACCCCTAATTCTCTGTCTATTCATAAAACTCTAGTTTACTATCTTCCAAATTATACTCCTCAAAGTAGTCTTTAGTTATTAAGTTTGAGAAATGCTATATAACATAAACTGCTTTTGGAAATTTACATTAGACCACACATTAACTCTGAAAAGTCCTGTGGTGACTTATTTAACCCAAAGTTTTCAGACTTATTGGTCACAGTAAAGTCTATTAACTCCTTTTGGAACACAAACTAAGAATAGCCCTTTAGTTTAAACCCCAGTTCACTCAGCTTCAAAATCATACTTAACAAGCACATGTCGACAGTATGGCAGGAAGTTTGCTTGATATCTGTATATACTTCAACTATACACAAAGGATAGAGATCTCCACTTTAGCCAGAAATCAGTAGTACTAGATCTGACTTTCTCATTCTACAACCTAATTCTTTCTTACAAGAATGATGATTTCTGGGTGACACAAGGCAGTGGAGACCTGTCCTCTTTGAACTAGGGAACTACATATACCCTGTGTCACAGGTATAACCTATTAATTGAAGAATCCTTTGAGGAACATAGTCGTGGAGATGGTGCCTTAGACACCTGTGAAGAGAAGAGAATTCACAGTGTATGGGAATCTCTGTTGTTAAAAATGTGACTTTTATTAAAATGAGAAGGACCCTTCAGATTTGCACTTGCAATTTAAGAAAATTGCTGTGATAGGATTTTCCTGTGATTTAGAGTGATCAATCCCCTGTGTAGGAAAGAAAATAGAGGGTAATGGAGTAACTTATTAGGAAAAGCTTAGACAAAGGTAAGGTTAACTGGCACATAAGGCAAGTGTTTGGATTGTTTTGGTTTTTAATCATGTTCCCTGTGCTGGCTCACTTTTCCATTCAACTTCCTTTCCCAAGCACACTGCACTGTATCACCCTTCTTTTTCCATGCTTTGGGCCAGTGAGAGTCACTAAGCAGGGATAATGTAGACATGTCTCAGTCACTGCCAGCAGGGAGGACAGCCAGGCCAGAAGTTACCTGGAGAGCCTAAGGGATACTCCTGTAATCAGGAGAGATAGCATTCTTTTCCATCCCTGTGGACTCTCCAGCTGCTCACTGGATGAGTAGCAGGAGTCTTATCTGTATCAGCAAAGCAAGTTTATGCTATCTGTTGTACTAGGAACAGGTACAATATTACCTGTAAAAGATCTTGAAAGAAAACCCACTACATGCTCAAAGGCTTCCTGGAACAGCATATGATAAACCCCTGGTATCCACTTCCAAGGAGACAGTCATTGAGGAAAAACTACAACTGCTCAGGATGCAGAGAGTACAGTGCTGTACTGTAGATGCTCAATTCATTTTTCCCATGTATCACCCAGCTTCTGTTAAAGACATGCCTTTTAAGAAATCTAAAATTTTTACCTTATCACTTCAATTAAACACATTATGTGCCTTTTTGGCTCTGGAGGATTACCATTTGCTTTTGGGGAGGCATATTTTCACAAAATTAGGGGCAGGGAAACAGATCACAGAACAATTTAAACACAACTGATGATGACGCAAGACTGACAGTTTCTCTGTATCTGCTGAGCACATGGAAATTTAAAATGTTTGTTTTAAAATTTTATTACTTTAACTGCACTTGGTCAAAACTGCATGAATAAGGTGGGTTTACTATACAGCTAAATGCATTGAGTGTGGCTTAGTTCAAATGTTAGGGGAAACCTACCATTCCATGGATATTGAAGTTCTTGTTTCTTGGTGCAAAGACATTCTGGAAAGCCTTCTGGTACTGAGGTGCAGCTGTCCAAGGTGAATGAGGCGCTGGAGTGGAGATCATCATGAAGAATGGCTCAGAGTTGGACTTGTAGCCAAGGAAGTCCAAGGAGACATTAGCCTGACATATACAAAGATTTGTCATCTCCTATCCTGCCCAATAATTGAGTATGTAATAAGATAAATGTGTTCTGGAGTACAGGATCACGTTAGCTGTTAATCTTAGCATGATCTTATTTCATGGTCATGTGCAAGCATGTTGGCATGCTGTTGTAATCATAAGTTTGCTTTAGGCAGTACTTTAAAAATTTAAAAGCATACCATCATTGAGAGAGCAATTGAGACCTTGACTTTACATGATCAGAAACTGTCGTGTTACCCAAATGGAAAGAAATTGTGATTTGGCCATTTTAGTATTCATTTACATTCATGAAGCTTAGAGTATACACTTTTGATGCCTTAAAAAATGGTTTTAAAAATGTAAAAAAAGACAGTTACGCTTATTCTAAATAGTGGAAAAGGTGGATTAAGGTCCCTTCACCTTACAAAAACATGTAGAAAGTAGATGTCATCATCATGCCAACTGAAGTAGTATGAAGTAGCTAAGTGAGTACTAAATCCAATTATTAGAACTAAGGGTAGCTTAGCATGCACAAGGCCCTGGATTCAATCCCCAGCATCCAAAATGAAGCAACAGAAATAAACAAAACTCCCCATACACCAGGGTTTTAATTTACATGAATGTAACACTTTTCATTTGCTTATTGGGAGATCCTTTATGAAAATGAAAGCACCCCTCATGCATGCTGTTTTTCACTGCCTAGTTGATTTACACCTTCACTTATTCCTATCACTAACTCAAAAGATACTGAGGGTATCTATGTCCTATCACCTTCCCACCCATCTACTTTATTCTAGCCCCATAGCTTCTTTGTGGTTTCTCCACTATGCCAGGTACTTCCTGCTCAATCAAGGGCTCACACTTACTCTCCCTCTGCCTATGGTACTTCCTTCCTCCCTGATCTAAGCTAATCACTCTCACCTTTGCTTACCTAAGTAGCCCCGTTTCTCTTATTTCTCTAACTGATCACCATCTAATGAAACAAATGAACGTGTACATAGTCACAGACACAAAATGTCCTACCATGAGAAGGCGACTTTCCACAGAATCAGACTTCGCTTACTTATTCCTGAATACCTACTATGTTAGGTGTTGAACTGTTTGGTGAATAAATGGTCCATGGACATGGACCATTATAAGCACTTCAGGACAGAAAAGTACCAAATTCACCTGACTTCAGTAATTTACACACACACACACACACACACACACATACACACCATGCTGGTCCATGGATGGACCATTATAAGCACTTCAGGACAGAAAAGTACCAAATTCACCTGACTTCAGTAATTTACACACACACACACACACCATGCCCAAAGACACACACACACACACCATGCCCAAAGAGACAGACAGACACACACACACACACACACACAATGCCCAAAGACACATACACACACCCACCATGCCCAAAGACACACACACACACACCATGCCCAAAGACAGACACAAGACACACACACACCATGCCCAAAGAACTCCTATATTCCTAATGCCTCCATCTACACAAGGCCTTTGAAGCTGCCATTTTGCAGCTCATGAATAAAACTGGTGTCAAGAGTGGGAATCCTACAAAGTAAATCCTCTATGAATTAATCTCTGTATTCTCAGACAGCACCTTTGGAAAAGGGATTTGTTGCTGGAATTGTAAGGCCATTAGTTCTGAGCCTGGCTTATACACAAAACAACAACAACAAAAAACCTCAGGAGTTTTTAAATCAGCTGAAAATACTCTTTGGCAAAGCAACTCATGATGCCTTTATGTTACCTGACACAAGTAATGCTCGAGGTTTCTTAGGCAGTGTCTTCAATCAAACATGAGCCAGACCTGTAATATCAGAGCTACAGAGCTTCAGAAACTCACCAGAACATCTGTCAGGTAGTCCACGCTATAGTTTTCACCATGCTTCCGTGCCTTCCCATTGATAGAGAGGGTGTAATTATAGTATTTAGAATTCTTTTCCTGTTTAAAAGAGGAAAGTAAAATTTGTTAAGAGGTCAGCACACAAAATGAAAGTCTGTGCCTATGCTGGGTAAGACGTAAAGCAATTACTAAAGTCAGGATATTCTGACAAGGGTTTTATCAAAAACAAGCATATTTTCAACAATTTGTCTTTTTTTTTTTTGGGGGGGAACACTCATTTGAACTCAGAGCCTCACTCTTGCTAAGCAAGCCCTCCACCACGTCCTTTTTGCTTGAGTTTTTCCAGGTAGGGTATGGCATATTTTTTCGCCTATGCTTGCCTGGATCATGATGTCCTCCTTAAGCCTCCAGTGTAACTGGGATGACAGTTGAAATGTGGTTTTGCTAACGTTTTTGCCTGGGCTGGTCTTGAACCACAATCCCCCCTACCTCTGCCTCCTGAGTAGTTGAGATTACAGACACGAGGCACTGCGCCTGGTCAATTTGTTCTAATTTAAATGTCAGAAGTGGTGGGCATGGTCATGTACACCTATAATCCCAGCACTTGGGAGTGCAGGCAGGAGGACTATGAGTTTAAGGCCAGCCTGGGCTACACAGACCCTATATCAAAGAAACAAGGGCTAGGGATGTAGCTCAGTGGTAAAGTGCTTACCTACCATGCACAAGGCCCTGGGTTTGAGCCCCAGCACCTGTGAGCATGCAGGCTCATACACAAGCCAGAAGTGGATTAGGAAGGATAGCAAACTACAAAGCTAAACCCTTTGTAATGCAGGAAAAAGAGCTCAGAAGGAATGACCCAACAGGTTTTATTTTAAAGAGATAAAATAATTAGTCACAAAGCAATACAAGTTATGTCAGTGTCAGAACTCATTTAGAGGGTAAATGTTTTGCATGTGCAGGGCTGTGTCTAATCACTGACTTCAATACTCACTCACCAAAGCATACCAGTAACTCCAGCCCAGAGGAACATGTTCTAGTCCACCTGCATCTGGGGCTCCATACTGAAAAGACAGACAAGTTGAACATCAGAATTCTACATGATGACCAGAAAGAAACAGGAAACTCAGAATCATTTTAGATTAGTGCCTGAAATACAATAGGTGCTCAACACATATAAACTAACCAAAAAGTAAACCACCTTATAATACAAGGAACTTAAGCAGGAGTTGGTAAACTATGGCCAGTGGCCAAATCTAGCCTACCAACTATTTTATATGGTCAGCACCTAAGAATTTAACCATTTAAATGTATAAAACCAGGAAAACTATTTTGTGAAATGTTACAGTTATATGAAGTTCAAATTTCAGGGATAAGAGTTTTATTTGAATACAGCTGTGCTTGTTCACTTATGCATCTATGGCTGTGTCCACATCACAGTAGCAATGCTGCACAGTTGCAACAGAGATATATGGCCTGCAAACCAGAGCATTTACTATCTGCCCACTACAGCCTACTCCCCTTGACCCATTCATGGGGAGAGTACTGAGCTATAATGGCACAGACTGAATACACCAACTGACCTCGAGTCTAATAACAGCCAAAATAATCAGACTATGGGCTATCAGCCTATTACTTCAGTTGTTCTGATAAGATCTACTGTTGAAGCTCAGTTTATCTGCTGAGATGAGTAAGTCCACAGAATGCCCCCACCTTATCTTAACAAAGTCTAGTACTTCCCACTAATAACTGAGAACTGTATCTCTATACTTTAAAAAAGGTTTCTCTTAATTTTACATACATATTAGATGACCTTCACTGTGCAAAGATGCTTAAGTAAGTTCCCTTTGTGATCAATCCCCTGAGTTTCACACTTCCTGCTGCTGATCATCCTTCAAACCCGCAAGGTTGCACATTCCCTCAATTACTGGGGGAAAGGGGAAAGCCAACAGAAAATTCGGATCTGATAAAGAGCTCTAGCAACCACAAATAAAGTATGTAAGAAAATGTACATGTTATTTGTCCTGTGCCCTCAGTTAATTCTAAACAACCCCAAATACACTATTTCCTTTAAGTATGGACTCTGACTGAAAGCTAGGCCACAGTGTTGGACTTGGAACCGTGACACCTGGCCTCAACAGGCCACAATTAGGTATCACCCATCCAGGTCTAGGAGGCCAGCACACAACTACTCAGCCACCTGAGTGCCCCAGAACCTGGGTACTGTCTCTTAATTACAATTTTTCTACAGTTCTCACTTTCCAGTGCAGAAAATGGATTAAGCATTAAGTCGTTATAATACAGAAATGATTCTAAGAAATCGGAGGAAAGAGTGAAAGGAAAAAACTCCTCATTTGGAACCCCTCATTTTGATTCCCCTGATAAAGAAGAAACGGAAACAAAGATATTCTGACAGCCACATGACAAGTAAAATTTTCGGGGGAAAAAAGGGAAGATGCATGGATTGTAGCAGTCTTAGGACAATTTTTACATAGAAACTTCTGGGACTACTTTAAGGAACAGTAACTAGTTACTAAAACATGTAAATATCACATAATGAATGGGCAGATTAGAAAAAACTATACAAAAGTCCTTTGATACTAATGAAACAATACTTAACAGGAATCATATTAGTTCACATTTAAAAAGCTGTCGTAAGAAAAAAAGGAATGGATTATTCAACATACCTCATTTAAATATTTCCCTGCAAAAAAGGTTTGATAGCCACACTTTGATCTGAGAATTGCAGGGAAAGTATTCGGCTCTTGGATCTTCTGCCAAGATATGCTACTGCAGTTTCCCTCCAAAGTATTGTTGACAACATAATGATTGTGTGGGTACTTCCCTGTCAGGATACTGGCTCTGCTGGGGCAGCAGAGAGCACTTGGCACATACTACAAAGGGAATGGGAGCAGAAAAAGACAAAGTTATACAAGAAAGAAGGATTTCTCATCATGTCTAAAGAGAAGTTGCTCATTATTCTACACTCACATTTTTAGTTTCTCATGAGAGAGATTTTCTTTACACATGATGTACTTTCACAGCTGCTTAAAGTCACACAGGGAGACACCAAAGCAGATAAACTGAGTGACTAAATTTCTTTTTTCAGTTGGTTTCTTTCTGAAGAATGACATAACAATTCTAATCTCATCTGCCAAAGAAATATTTATTATGCAAGGAACTGAGCATGGGGGAAGCACCAAAGATAAAGAATGACTTGAGTCTAAGGGAACTGTGAAGAAGTTCACTTTCAGGATGATCTGTAGCTTATACATTTCTTGTATCACTTTACACACAGGACACAGATTTTCTTTTTCCTTCTGTTTCCTTAGCTTCTATCAAGAAACTTTCCTCATTCCATTTAATAATATCTATACACACCACCAAGTCACTTTGCAGAAGTTAATCCCAGCTTGTTTGCACACCAATAAGGAAGGAATGGCCATTGAGTACACATTCATGCTAATATTAAATACTGCCCCTTTTAAGTACTTAGCACACTTTGGTCTTTAAATTGGATATAGCTTTTTGTGTGTGTGTGTGTGTGTGTGTGTGTGTTGGGGATTAAAGGAACCTGCACATGGTAAGCATGCTGACCTACACTCATAGCCTAATCTAGATGGGCATTTTTTTTTTTTTCCTTGATACAGAGCCTGGGACTGGTGACACTCCTACCTCAGCCTCCAGCAGATTGGCATTTTAAGTACTGGGGAGGATGAATGTTCTCCACATGCATGCTGACCAACTGTCTTTATGTGAATAGTCTGTTCATGAGCTATGCTCATTTTTCCCTCCTGTTACATGACATTTGAGTAAAGGAAGGATTCAGTCACATTATAAATACTTCCCATTTTCACTCTTCTCTCTTGGTTTTATTTGAAATTACTTCTATAATTTTTACACTGGTCACCCTTCTTTTTTTGGTGTTACTGAGGTTTGAACTCAGGGCTTCACACTTGTTAGGCAGGCACTCTACTGCTTGAGCCATGCCTCCAGCCTCACCACTCTTAATTCTTTTACCTTTTTGGTTTTTTGACCTCTTGTGGCCATATATCTTTATATTTCATTTTAGTATCTGGTTGGGCAATTCATTCCTTTAAAAACATTATCTTGATGGGTTTAATCCCTGTACCACAAAACAAAAAACCACCTTGGGACTAGAGATGCAGCCCAGTGGCAGAGCACACGCTTAGTTTAGCATGCTCAAGGCCCTGGATTCATCCTTAGCATCACACAAAACAAAATCACCTTAACTGTTCTTACCATTTGTTAGTACAGACAACTTTTGGAAATCACTTGTTTGAATCTTAAAAAATCTTGAGATTCCATTTAGAATATACGTTTTATAATAGTGTCTTCTCACAGAAAATTACATATCAAGTATTTTTTTATCACTCACAAGGTCTATAACTTTATTTACATAGATCTTACTCATTTCTGTCCACCAGCTATTCCTAGAGAGTTTATGCTTTTCTGCTATTACAACAGAATTTCTCTTTTCCCTCCTTTATCTTGTTACATGGAAGAAAGTTATTTTTATTTTTTCATTTCTATCTTACCGAATTCTGTTAAATTAAGTTTTCTAACAATCCTCCTGTGTTTTCTGGGTAGAAGATCAAAAAGCTGGGATAATTTTGCCTTTTCCCCCCAGTTTTATCTCTTGTTCCCAGAAGACTTACAGCAATGATTTGATAGTCCAGAGTAACATTACATGAGAAATATTAAGCCCTTGTCTTACCTGTAACAATAAGGAATCTTTTGCATTAAGTATAAGGTGTGCTACTTGTTTGAATTATTCATCATAGTAAAGATATAGTCTAACAATTTAATAAGTTACCAGCAAAGAATGCTAAAATTTTAGAGGACTTTTAAGTATCTATGGAGATGAACATCTAATTTTCTTCTTTTAACTAGTGATATCATAGACAATGTAACAACTCAGCATCATCTGCTTACTGCTAAATCCAGCACTGCTAAAAATATTTCACATGTATTAACTCATTTAACTATAATAACCCTCAAGCAGATATTACTGACTCCATTTACAAGTGGGGAAACCAAGGGTCAGAGGAGTTAAATAACTTGGGCAAGGTCATAAGAGCTAGAAATCAGGGAGAGAATGTATTCAAAACAGGCGTTCTAGTTCCAGACTCTATGCTCTTGAGCACAATGCTGTGCTACTGTTCAGTGGGTTTCCTGGTATTCAGATACTCTACTGTTCCTAGATTACCACTTGCTAGGTTATATGCATGACTTCTGAATTGCTAATATTTTATTTTGTATCTTTGCATCTGTATCTTAATATATTTATGTTGTGTTTGTTATATACAAATGTGTGTGTGTATATATATATATATATATAT